TGGGACAGTTTTTGTTAAACAACAGAGAACTATTGGTCTTCTGGAATTCAGATGATAAAGGTATTATCACTGAAAACATGTTGATGATGTTGACAAGGGAATGATGAAGGTGATATTTAACTAATTTTTCATTTACTGCAAGATGTACATGGAAATAAGAACTAAGAGCAAGTAAAGACTCTTTCTAGAGACTTCATCCACTCAGCTCTACAGTCTCAACTATAAACATATATGTTTTTTTAATGTGGTCGTGTTCCCTGAGCAGAGTGGTTTACCCGTCTAGCTTTCATTGCCCTACCAAACAGCATCTTCAGCTCATAGTTCAATTTGAAATGAGCTTTTAAACTTCCCCTCCTGGTGGCCTTACACGTGATTGGTTGCTCTCGTCTATCTTCACACCCTCTAGTCAAGAAATTCAAAAGCTCACTTCAAACTGAAGTATGCACTGAAGATGTTGCCTCGTAGGGCAATGCAAGCCAGGCAGATAAACCATCCAGCTCACCACCTGATCTAAAAATCTTCATTATATTTGTATGTATACATGGATTTGTTTATATACTCTTCACATGCCCGAAATGTTTGAAAATAGCAATCTTAACTGGGTTATAATAATATATGAGAAGATGAAATTTGGTGGGAAATCTAAAGGATGGTTGTCATAGTGATCCCTTAAGTGACTCGAAATATATATATATATATATCATTCAATAAGGAAGACTTTTAAAATAAGTAGTCAGTTTTACTAGCAGTTCAGTCCATAATATTCACGTGCGTCAAACTAAGGGTAATAATAATTCCATGTTTTTTTCCTGAATAATGCTAAATACAAAATAATGTATATAACCATATCAAATGTTACACAGATTTGACAAAACATCTTGAAAAATTTTATCAGAATGACAAATTTGAAGAATTAGTTAAGTCATAAGTGATGTAATACCTGATTCCGGCTACTGTTAAGTTAAACTGTAGTTTGGTTTGTAAGGATTAGTTATGTTTTACGAGTTGATCATGGACTGATATCAGTTAGAGAACCATTGAAAACCAGGAAGTACTGGACAGCTACTGTTTCATCCTAGTTTTGGAATCATCGGCAGTACGCACCCACTGGGATTCGAACCGAGGACTTTCAGGTTACAAGGCAAGCTCGTATACCATTCAGCCACTGGGACCCGATTCAATGGCTCATGAATTCTAACTTCTACCAATTCGTGATTTAGCGTACTGCGTACTGCCGATGATTCTCAAACTAGGATGAAACAGCAGCCGTCCAGTACTCCCTGGTTTTCAATGGTTCTCAAACTGATATCAGTCTGTGATCAACTCGTAAGTTAAACTGTGTCAAATAATCAGTTATTCTTCTTAGGAAAGTATTTACTATTACTATTAAGCAACTGACTCCGAGTAATAATCAGAGTTAAGTGATAGTGAATATTAATGAAAACAAAACACGTAGATCAGCGAAGAGTCTCTTTTCGGCGAATTCATCTTCTTAGCTGTACAATCGCAAATATATATGCATTGTTTTGTTTGTATGTGTACATTAAGTTTGTCAAACACAGTTACAATTGGTTAAGGTTAATTTTAACTAAACAAGTGAAGGTTGGTAATATAAGTCAAGACAATTAAGTGCTAGGATAGTAACAAAGGTGATGAGTTGTCACAAACAGTTGTTAAAAGAAGTTATGCAATAATAATATGAATATTTTGATGAGTGAGTTTTACTCAGGATGCACATAGAAACAAAGTAGATAATACGAAACTATGTAAGAGATCTAAGTGAATACAAGAATTATAAGCAACTAAGGAACAGGCAAAGAAACAAAGTTAAGTTATCAGAATAAAATAAAATAAAAATCAAAAAATCAAAACATTGTTACCATGAGAGTAGAAGTGGTTGAGTAATCTTCTTTTGTATGCACAGCTCCGGTTTTTCCATGTGAATGGCTAGAGCTTCAGCGATACAGAGGAGACGAAACCGTATTGCCTTTGATAGGTTGTTCTTGACTCTGTAGATTACTTTGAAGGAGGCGTTCGTTGAAATGCAATGATCAGTGCTGACCAGGTGTTCAATTATCGCACTCCTTATTGCACCAGTATTGCCTTTTCGCAACCATGCTGGATAGTGTTCTTGAATCCTCTTGGACAGGATGCGCGTCGAACGACCGATGTACCTGGCTCCAAAGCAGCAGGTGAACTGGTATATGCACATAGAAGTGGCCAGATGCACTTAATTGCCTTGACTTATATTACCAACCTTTACCTGTTTAGTTAAAATAACCTTAAGCAATTGTAATTCTTGTATCCACTTAGATCTCTTACATAATTTCTACTTTGTTTCTATGTGCATCCTGAGTAAAACTCACTATTATTATTACAACTGTTTCTGACAACTCATCACCTTTGTTACTACCCTAGTTTTCTTGACCTGTTTTACCAACCTTCACTTGTTTAGTTAAAATTAACCTTAACCAATTGTAACTTTGTTTGACAAACTTAATGTACACATACAAACAAAACAATGCATATATATTTGCGATTGTACAGCTAAGAAGATGAATTCGCCGAAAAGAGACTCTTCGCTGATCTACGTGTTTTGTTTTCATTAATGCCTGGATGGGGATTATCCATGAATAGTGAATATTGCACTGTGACAGAAGTACGCTGCTTCATTATCTTACTGGCCTGTGAAAAGTTAATTAGCACTAATTTATTCAAAAGAATGTTTACTGAACAAAGAATATCCTTTCCGATAACTCCTTCATCACGTTCTACAGTTATATATACACATAACAGTGAATGAATTAGTGTTATTTATAGCATTAATGCTTTTTAAATAACATTGAACCAATAATAATAATATCAATGGATTACAGCATATTAGCATCAACATAACAATAAAATGAATGTCAGAAAAAATTAGGAAAGATAATATAAACAAATTCATGAATTTATAGTCTCTACTGAAGGCCATCCAGGGCAGTAGTAGTGGCTGGCTGGACTTGCTTCTTTTGCACACAGAGCACCTGTTGTTGTTTCACGCGAATCGCGACAACCTCTGCTGTTTGAAACATGCGGTACCTCGATGTTGTTGGCAATTTATTTGGTACAAGGTAGATGATAGAGAAAGATTCTTCAATGCTGGATATGTGGCTGGTTTTGAACCAGGTAGTCTAATACCAAACTGTTGATGGTTTTTACTACACCTTTAATTAACCATACTGGGAGATGCTCTTGAACACTTGAAGAATCAAGTTCATCTGGCCAATGTACCTGCAAGTTAAAAGTTATCCAATACTCTTTTTGGAACTAATGGCTATTTGTAGAAATCTATACAGATAGCACCAAACTTCACGTAGAATTGGACCAGTGGTCAGATAGTTTCTGATTTCAGCAAATCTCATTTTTAAAAACGCTATCAACAATTCAGTTGATTCCATCTCTAAATTAACGAAAACTCGTTGTCTTTGATAAAACATACGCTGCATCTTGGGAGTTATGAATAATAAACTTATGTCATCAGACTTGTCAAGCATCGATCAGAGCTTGGAACCTTACCGTCTTGTAGCCTGTTTCTTTTTCTGTCAACGAGTACTTTTTCTTGTCTCTTATGAAATGAACGACACAATATTATTCTTATTATTATTTTCGATCCCTGTACCTACGATTAGAGGACGAAATCCTGTGGACTCTACTTCATGCTGTATCTACAAGTTCACCTGGACCTGCGATGACACCTATCTAGGTAGAACCAATAGAATGTTCCAATGTCGTCGAAAAGAACATGTTCCAAAATGACTACATAATCATATAAAAAATCCCAACTCGATTAATCTGAATAGAAATCCAGCATCATCCATTGCAAAGCACTTATTAATGTCGGGTTACAAAATCAATGTTAATGACTGTTTCACAATTATCTCACATAACTCTAATTCAAGGTTGGTTATTGAAGGTGATGGAAGCACTTTGGGGGATTAATCACATACAGCCTAAAGTGTGTGAACAAAAACAATAGACTTCAATCTTCGTCTGCCATGCACAACATGACCTATGTAAATATGATTGGTCATTAGTATGTACTTTTTTATTTAACTGAGTAATTGTCATGAACTTTATTTTATTGTTGTTCACCATGTTCAAATGAACTGTCGTCAAGATTTGACAGAATAGTTCTTAAATATTTGGGCGCCGAGTGAGAAGTAGACATTTATAAAAAATTATATTTGTAAAATCTCAGTGAGATTGAAATGAGTAATTTCAACGTTTCCTGTGTTCGGCAATCTGGTCCGAACTTCTTCAGGGGAATTAATCAAAATTAACATAACAGAGGTTCATATATAATTTCGATTAATTTCCCTGAAGAATTTTGGACCAGATTACCGAACGAAACGTTGGAATTACTCATTTTAATCTCACTGAGATTTTACAAATATAATTTTTAAAAATGTTAACCATGTTAGTTGTAAAGCGGTTGTAAAGAAACTATGAAATGATATCATGTCGCGAAATTTGTCTTCTTTATGCCTTATTCATATTATTACTGTATCAGGATACTATTAGCATAGTTTGTACAACTTTGAACTGACATCAAATTTCCCCGATATTCATTCATTTATCTGCTATACATCTGTGGGTTAGCAAACTGTGAAGTATGATACATACAGAAGCAGAATCTAAGAAGTTTACAGTGGCTGTTACCTTAGAATTCGGTGTGCTCCCTCAAATTTCCTCAAACAAAGCTTCTGTTGTCATAAATTCCAAAAGGAAAGACATTTTGGAATGTCTTTCTTATGTTTTTGCTTAGTGGATACAGTCTTTTTATCGGACAGTAATGATTAACTAGGCGGTTCTTTACGGAGTGTAAACTCTTTCAATAATTTCGAAAATATGTTTAAGCAGTTTGTTCATTACCATACTGACCAAACAATGTTTTTTTTCACTTGTGTTTATAGGGAGTCTCTAACTATTTAATAGCCAGTTTGGCTGTTGCTGATTTAATGGTTGCTACCTTACCAATGCCAGTAGCAGCGATATATGAAGTTTCAGAGGACTGGTGGTTAGGTAAGTGAATAGTTTTGATTCTTTTCAATTGTATTTCTACTTTTGAGTGTTAAAATAAGGAAATTTACAAGTGATGAATTTTACTTTGTATTTTTACCTTAAATTTCGTCTTTTTGCGTGTTTATGATGAAAATAATATTCTACTCTATGCTACTGAAGGACTGTCTGTCTTAGATTAGTATTATTGCTCAGTAATTTTTATCCATAGAACCCTTTGAATACCAGAAGGCAGTCAATAAATCCCCTTTTGAATAAAGCAAGAACAACTGTGGTTTGTGCAGAATAATATGGTACTATCATTGCTTATTTCGTTGGATTCTCATCAGCTGCTTGCTTACAGCCTAAATAAGTTATTAACAAGTCTATGCTTAGAAACTTTTCAACATACATGCAAAATTTACATGATCTCAGTTGATAGGAGGTTCCGGAATTAGTGAACAGTACTCAGAAAACTATGCTTATATAGTTTGTACACAGGCAGTTCAAGTTGAAACAGTCTAAGTGTATTCATACAATGGTAAAGGAGTTGCATAATAAAGGAGAGATATGCGTAAGATGCTGAGTGACTAATAAAATAGGTAACGATGTACTGAGTTCAACTGAAATCATAGAAACAGGAGACAAGAAAAACAACACTATATCAAAGGGGCAGCGGATGAGGTTGAAGGAGTCGCCTTCTATATTTTTGATTTCAATAGTCTTTTATTAAAATGGGTCATGAATTAGTCCACAAGAACATGACCAAGAACGCTAACCCATAGTCGCTTTGCCAATTTTTTGGCAGCTCTGGTTATTGAGTAGGAAGTGAACATTCTTTGTACAAAGCATCAATATTTGTTTCAACTCGTCTCCAGGGAGAGAAAGCAATTTAGACCACTGGCATATGATTTTCAACATGTTTGCTTGTAAAAGGCGAACAAACATAGTATGACTCTAAGAGTTCGACTGGAATATTCAGTTGATTTAGCTCATTATAAAATTTGAATGAGCCATTGACACTCTGAATTATCAGTATGCTGTAAGCAGTTGGAGAATGTAGGGGAGTTTATGGGGAGCTCAGTAACAGAACAAATATTAGAATAAAAGTACAAGTTAATGAAATGATAGTGTAACAACATATTATAAAAAATACAGTTAATGAGTTATATAAATTAATGGTTACTTGATTAAAGTCCGCTGCTACAAATTATTAGTATTATTCACAATAGCGTTCACTGTTGGAGTCGTGTCTACTTGTAGAAGATATGCACTGGTTGAAGAATGATCTTCGAATAAGGATGAGAGATTCCTACAAAATCCAAAGTATACAACACGGTTAGTATGGAAACAAGTAGACTGTATGGACCAGGGAGAAAACTAAGTGTCGAGCACCACACTGTATTTTAGATTGTACTCCACCATTAAGTATATAAAAACATGAATCATTCTGGAAAAAAGTTAAGTACAATGTTTCCATTTATAACATCTAACAAAAAACTGTACAATCATATTGTTCCAGACTTCACAAGAAAACCCATGAAATAAAAATTGAGTTCTTATTTTCCTGCAAATACATTCATTCATGCTTTTTTCAGATTAGCCATGCGTCTTACATTCAAATTTACTGATTTGTTAGAAATTGGCGTTTACCAGTGGATGAAAGCTAAACATTACTGTTAATTCGCGAGCCCGAATAGTCCAGTGGTAACGTCTCTGACTGCATCACTGGATGACGCGGGTTCGAATCTCAGAAGGAACATGAACTCCTTCAAGTTTGCAGATACACCTTGCTGACAAGTGCCAACTAGCACGAAACCTATGTTGGGTAAGGCTTTCTGCCGACTGTCTCTAACCATCTAATTCAAAATTCTACACGTCTTCTCAAATCTGACACTTGACGAAGTATTAAGGAATCAGTCGCCTTTTCATGAGATAATTAACGTATTCTCTTTACTGCATCAAAGGAGAATCACTAACATGGGTGAATATATGTAAAAAGTTATGCGATTCATCAAAAGCTTCATTTAACTCAGTGACCCTTTCATTTTGTCCCTGCTCAGACTCAGACTACTTAGTTTCGAAACTGATCTGTACCACATCAGAAAGTTAAGTTACCTAAACTCTAAGTATCAAAATTATGAAACTCTGAATATGTTAATGGTCATTTCCACCGATTTCTTCTAAATAGGCAGTAACTGTTCAGCTTTCTTGACTTCACAAATGTGTGGAATGTAAATTAAATTCATTTTTTGGCTTAAAGTTTATTTATTTAAATGAGACGTTTGTCATAATTATTAATTGCTGCTTTATCATCGTCACCTCTCACTTTAACAATACGTCTTTAATTTCAAAATTGCTTAACTGAATTATCTTCATCCTGTATCTTTGTCTGTCGTGATCACATTTTTTTAGAAATTGTTTTTAAATATTACCCTACTATATATTCAGCTTTTCGGTTCTAGATGACTAGCAGTGGAATCCGAAAGGAGCATTTTCTCCTATACAGGGACCACCAGGTGGATATATCTGCATCCCCTGTGAATGTTAAATGATATTCCCACTGAGAGTCAAACGCTGCACCGATTGTTTCAAATGATAGATCGCTATTAGTTGAGCCATTAGGACAGGATAGCCATTTCTTGGCGTTTTTGAACGATGGGTACTGGGTTTTGGTTTCATTGAGAACATCATTCTCCATTCACTTGGAATGCATGTATGCCTAGATGACACGTCCCAGATAGGATGAAATACGCTTCCTGGATTCCACTGCTTGTCACCAGCCACCAAAAATAGATGGTGGTGATCTTTAGACAACGCTGAAGCGTCTGTACTCAGAGTTGGCATATCAACACACGCCAGTACAAAATAACCAAACAATAGGATGTATAAATTAACTTGAATAAATACATTCAGTGTGTTAATCGTCTTAATGTCTGAGTAAATACATGAGTTATGCTCACGTTTTCATTACATTCACAAACAGACACTAAGTATAAATATTCTAATAACCATTCAAGCTTCTGTCTTCTCCTGATAATTGTTTTTTCATAACTTCAGTGAAATTCTGTGTATCAAACCTTCCAGTTCTACCTAAGAGGATTACCTAACTTTTTACTAGATTTACAATGTTTAACACATTTGACAAGGGTGTAACGATTGACAGGAACACTGTAAACGAAGTCAGATATTTCCTTGTGGTGCTATTACCGCCAAAATAACTTCACATAAACTTTAAAATAAAGCGTGAAACCATGCTGCAAACATATGCTTATTATTGAATTCAATTTTGAATTTTCCCGTCGATTGATTGGACCAAAGTGCTCGATCTCAGGTTGACACGTCGGCTTCTTGTGCAGATCCTTCGACGATGTCTGGGCATGTAATTAGAAGTTAATCCAGGATTCCCTGCATTTCGTCCTCTTTGGGACTCGTCAGCTAACTGGATGTACCTGCATTCCCTAGTGAGTAATGATGTTCCCACGAGGCTCCAATCCAATGCCCATAGTTTCAAACGCCAAAGCGTTACCCACTAGACCACTTGCACCACAAGAGAGCCACCTATTATGCAACGGGTCATAATAATGATTTAATTGAATTTTAGATTTTCCCATCGGTTGATCGAACTGAAGTGCTCATTAAATTAAACTATCATTCTCAGTGGGACGAGTTGAATGCATCTATAACACAATCTATCGCCTGCAGTCTTTTATAGTTGGCTGTATGATCATCCTTACGAATACGTATAATCAATATATTCTTCACTTCTTTGTCTGCCTGTTTAGTAATATATCGTCAAATCAGTTGGGCAAAGTAATCCGAACAACAGAAACGATGGAAAGTGCCGATGGAAAAATTCCATAGCTTAGTTAGACAGTAATTAAATTATACCTTTGCTCACATTAATTATCACACAAGCTGATTTGCATTAACAACAGTCTTAGTGTATCACACTATGTTTTTTTTTAATAGAAGAGCTAATAATTATGCATACGTTTTAGCTTTTATGTTAATTCACAAGCTATCTGGTGGGTGGTAGGTAGTTGGGAAAGTGAGTATATGTGTATATATAACCAGACGCATACACACTAAACCCTAGCGAATTGTGAACACTGTTCATTAAAAGACATTTGGGGAATGCTTTGTATGGAATTTTCTTTTTTCTTTTAGCCAAAACTGTTTACATTTCTTTCACATTATGGATTGACGTCTGTATTCATTAGTGTAAGAATCTAATTTTCATTTTGTAAGGGTAACTTTATTAATTATACAAAGCAGATAATTCTGATGGTGTAATAATTTTTATTCGTCAGTTGATTCGTTAATATATTATTTCTTGAAGAATAAGACAGCAGATTACAAAGATGAACAAATTGTTTTAAAATGATAAGAAGTCTTTCTGAAAAAGTCTCTGGTTGAAAGACTGTGATTATAGGCCAAAGAAAAGCTAAGTAGTAAAGTGCGTCGGTGGCACAGTGGTTAGGACTCTCGCCGACCATGCACATGGTCCGGGGTTCGATCCCCTGCCGGCGCACACCCGATATCTATGGTCGGCCTGTATATTTGGGCTACCGATATCCATGCTGAAAATTCCATACTTGTACTGAAAATGCGGTGTGGAATCAAAATCAAAATAAAAAATAAATAAATGATTCCGGCACTCTATTAGCTGCTTTACGAGACTCAACTATTAACCTCGTTAGTAGTATTTGGTTTGCTTTTAATAAACTTTTATTTAAACAAAGAGAACAGAGAAGAATTCAAAGCAAAGAGGTTGGTCTTTTCCAGAGTTCCTGGAGATTATTAAATTCATAAGTAAATAAATAAATGGATTCCAGAGGACTTTCGATACGGAAGAGATTGAGAATTTTAGAATTTTCATAAGGTTCTTTCAAGAAAGCGAGGCTTCAGGCTAAGCTCTTTTTTCTGCGTCGGTGATCTAGTAGAACACTCGGCAGTCACGCCTCGTGTAGTGCAGATTTTGATCACCGGTCGTCTGTATAACACTGTAAGACTTTATCGGA